AATATAATAAATATGACTGCCTCAGTGGCGGGAGGGTTACCATGAAGAACTGCCACGCAGAGGTCCCGAGTTCGATTTCCGGGCCGGGAGAAATATTCGTATGGCCTACAATTACCTGTCTCATGAGTTTGAGTACAATCTGTGGTTGTTTATGCGTGTGTCCATGGCACCAGCGACACAAGGTTTCCCTAGTACGGGGCTGTGATTGTGGGCGTTATTATTGTTATTTCAAAAAATATTTAATTAAAAATTACTTATTACGATTTAAACATTAATCTATAGAGTTATGATCCATTTAGTAAGACATATAGAAATCGTTGTAGTTTATATGAAAATTCCCGTGAATAGCAGTGCATCGTATTAGTACTGATAAGGTGTGAAAGATTTCTATTTTTTATGATACCAAATGACGGGATGAACAAGTCCTGAGTCTGGTGGTAAGCGACACGCCTGTCCATAGCAGCTATAATGCCATTGAGAGCATTAGATCACAAAGATCTGAGGAACTCTGCCGTTGCGCTCGTCACCTTGAGATATAAACAGATAAGTCCCATGTGCTTGTAATTTCATAAAAAATCAAGCATACGATTGTTCCTGTACAACATTTGTTTCATATCTTTATAAAAAGAAACACTTCAGAATGGTCAGTAGGCAAAATGTATATAAATAGATAACAATATAACGAATAGCCAGATGGTAAGTAATGGTCAGTAAATACTTTCTCTTCATACATACATTCAGTGGCATTATGACCATGGGAAAGGAAAATAGAGAATTGTATTTTAAATTTATTTGATGTTCAATATTTACCTAAATTTCTTTCTTATAAATGGCTCTGTGGCCGAACGGTTACCATGCTGGTCTGCTACGCAGAGGTCCCGGGTTCGATTCCCTAGAGTAATATTCGTAAGGCCTACATTTATTTCTCTCGAGAGTTCGAATGTAATTTGTAGTTTTGTATGTATGTGTCCATGGCACAGGGTTTCCCTAGTGCGGGGCTAAGATTTTTTTTACACTTTATTGAATTTGTCGTAAGAGCATCTGTGTAGTTCATACATCTAAGTATATTGTCTAAATCAAATAAGTTCAAATAATCTAGCTTAGATGTTCTAAAGTTAAAATCATAGCATGTATACAGATAATTTAAAGATGCGTTTCTTAGCTTCTCACACAATACTTGTCATCAAAGTAACCTAACTTTGAATTAACAACAAATTTGTATAAATAAATTGTAGCACGGCCCAATAAAGCTGTTTTTATATAATCTTTATACAGAGCACTAAAAAACCGACCTCAAAAGTCATTAATCCCCTAGTTTGCCACCCTTAGAGGTGGAATATTTTCTTCAAATTTAAATGGGGCCACTTCTGAGGTATCCTCTTTCCAACAAAAAATAATCATCAAAATTGGTTCACAAATCGGAGTTATCGCGTAACATACATACAAAAGAAACACACAGTCGTATTAAGAACTTCCTCTTTTTTTAAAAGAATTTTAGAATTATGGGACGAATTACGTGTAGTCTTTTCAAACTTCGTTAATCCGGAAAACGTCCACGGGTATCATTTACCTAGAAAACGGCTTTTTCATAGCCTTACGCGGAAATAAATCAAAGTTAAATAATATATTTTCCATAACAATGCAGATTATTATGAAAATTGTATTATTATTAATGAACCATATAACTCCGTCTTGATCCTCAAAAATTTACGTGGTATTTTATTTTGGCGTGGAATTTTTGTAACGTTGTGCTAAAGATAAAAATATTTTGTATTGCTATTAAGAGGCTTCTGATACTAAATTGTAAATCGTTAAAAAACAGATTCATGATTTTCCTGTGGTCGTTGGTTATATAAATATTTATACAGTCTGATTTTTTAACAGGGACTGTATGGGGAAATCCGAAACCATAGAAGATACAGGAAAACCTTTTTAGGCACCATTAGGTCCTTTTTTATGAAAATAAATTTGATTATTTGAGCTGCATGAAAAAAACATTTTATTAAATTAGAACCACTTCTGCTATCCCGATTTTTTCATCAGATACAATAAAATAATCTTACAAGAAACGATCAGCATTTAAACAATCTCAATATCGGTGTCTTAGAGTAAATACCTCGTATGTGATTTCTGTTATTTTTCAGGACGAAGATAAAAATATGGTCTAAAATGTAGTAAACGCTGTTGAAGTTAACATTTTGATTAGTTACTTAAATTATAACTCTTTCAGAAATTATATTATTTTAATAATATGTTCGAGCAAGAAGTTTATAAGTTTTTCTTCAACAAAAATCAGAAAAAAGAACTACTTGAAAACGCTTATGCTAGGTTTTCACCCTAAGGTGACGTAGTTCATTTTTATGGACAACTTATGTTTGACCACAAAAATTGATTACGTAAAATTTGTTACCGCAAAAAATGACCTACTGATTCCAAAAACAGTTTCCATGTATGATTTCGGATTTCCCCATAAATGTCCCAGTAAAAAAATTATTCAAAGGTTTATTCATGTATTATCCTTATTCTCTGACTTGTAAATATAGATAAGTTAATTTTTAAGTTAAGAACTGCTCCAACATTAACTTCTTTCAAGGGATTCTATCTGAACCCATGTCAAAATATCCAAAAGTGTTGTGTGACGTGGGAAATCAGCGTCAGGTACTTAACTTAATACTTTCAATGTAATAATATTGAAAAAAGATTATTTTTTAATTGTATTACAATTAGAATATGATAGTACTGGCATGTTCTTTAGAACAAAAGTCCTAAAATTGAATAAAAGTTTAAAAAAGTGAACTGGGTTTTAGAACTATATATTCTGTGTTTTAATTAAGCTTTGCGAATTAATATATAAAATGCAACGATAATTTACCTGGGATGGATACCGAGCAATAAGAGACTGTGTCGATATGCATGAGATACGCTGTCGTATTTTTTCTGCTTTCCGACTTAGAAAATTACAAAAAACATTAATGTTATACACTCTGCTGTCTGTTTTTAGAGATAAGTACGAAATTTTTAGATAGTAACTTAATTTTGAATTATAAGTTGGTATTACTTATGGAACTTTTTTGACTAAGTACTTTAAGCTGTACTCTTAGGTAAATTTAATTTGTAGATAATATGATCCTTGATGTGACAGGTTTAAGAATTGTTTACTCTACACTTGAGACTTTTTTAAATTAATAAAAGCTGATAAAGATAAGAAATATTTTTAGATTATTCAATAGAATAGATATAAAGTTATAAAAGGTTCGATAAGACACTTTTCTAGTTGCAAATAGAAGTACTCTTTGAACTCCAAGCATTAATATTTATGATACGATAAAAAGTTTTTACGAAAGATTCTGAGAAGTCAAAGTAGTTTTATCAAGAAAATTTTTAAATATTATACAGAGATAAAAAATCCTTTCATCATCAAACCATTTATACGTCTCACTGTGGCCACGAGTCGCCTCTTAGGCGAGGTTTAGGTCATAGTCCGCCACACTGGAATAATGCGGGTTGGGGACGTCAAATGTTATCTGAAGGTGAACCTTCTTCGACGTGCAGGTTTCATCAAGATGTTTTCCTTCACCGGAGCTCATGGCAAATTTGAAATCAAAATTTGCACATAAATTCTGAGAATCTCATAGATGCAAGCCCGGGTTCGAACCCACGATTTCTGCTTGAGAGGCGGTAGGTCAAACCATCAGGCTACCACGGCTTAACTTAAAAAAAATTAAAATAATCTCAGTACAGAGTAGTTATAAAAACCTACCTCAAAAGTTCGTGGAATTACATATATTTGTCAAGCTCGGGATTCATCCCCTAGTTTGCCACCCTTTGAGGTGGAATATTTTTTTCAAATTTAAACGGGACCTATACTGATGTACCCTCTTTCCAACAAAAAAGAATCGTCAAAATCTGTTCACAAATAGTTAGAGTTATCGTGTAACATACATACATACAAAAGAGAAAAAAACAGTCAAAATGAGAACCTCCTCCTTTTTAAAGTCGGTCAAATATACTTTTAAAGTTTTTTTAAGTCATCTCAGTCAATACGTCATACATGAACTTTTTATTAGCGCCTAGCGGGACTGAACCACTGTTATAAGTCACTAACGTCTCATAAAATCAGAGTCTAATAATAGTAATGAAGAGTTTTGTTCCAAAGGGGCGCTATGAAGATATAAGGATGCAACCAGGCGTGGCTCGACGGAGTGTACATCGGGGTAATAATGTGTGGGGGAGAGGTGAGGACAGCGAGGGACGGGACCGGTCCTCCTCGAGAGATGCGCTTGAGCACGCCTGTCCTCGTTTGCCTTGTTGTGCCTTTAGTATTAAAACTTCAGATTTCAGGTTTTATTGACTTATCAAATGAACCTGTTTCTAAATTTCGTACACCTGTACGGAATATAGGGACAAGTTCATTTGATAAGACAATAAAAAGAAAAAAAATGCAATGTATGCAAAATAAACATTGTTTTTGAATAGTTTTATTGATTTATGATTAAATATTAATTTAATATTCGATACACCAATTTATTGGTGAATACTTGGAATTATGATAAGAAAGAAGTTGGATAATGATCTCTATAGATTGCGCGTTGATGTCTTAAGTATGCGGACACAACTGTAAACTGTAATCGTAGTCGTGGAACGGCATAAAACAGATACGCTACATAATTTTAAACTCTTTGCTTACATAAACATAATATCAAAAACCAGCCGAAAGGTGATAAAACAGTGATATCACCATCAAAAATCTCGTCGACGGAAGAAAGTTGTCGGGCTAGCCGAAAGCGGTCTCCGAGATCGGAATTTTGGTCGGACACGTACAGACACTGAGCGGGCGCGCCCACCTGCCCACCATACCTGAGCCAGAAGTGTGTCAGCGACTCCTCCGGCAACGATCGATCAGTACTTTCACATTACCTTAAATTAACACTCGAGTGCACACGCAGATACTGGATTAAAATGCGTATACGATGCTCTTACTAGTATCACAACTAACTTACCAGGATATAAGTTCTAGATAGAGGCAAAACACCCACCTTATGGACGCCGCGGGGCGTTCGAAATCCAAAATCAAAATCCGGTTATGCACTATCTAAGGGTTAGGGTTAAAGCACGGGCACTGTGCTGTCACACAAATCACACACAGGAGTCACAAGGTCTGCCACATGTCGGTCGGCAGGCCGATGCGGTCGAGTCGGCCGCCAGGTCAGCACTGAGGCTTTCTTCGAGACGACACGCGCGGGCGCAGGTAAGAATGAGACTACAGTGCCCGCACACCTTCATGGCGTTACTGCGCTTGTGTGCGTAACGGGCAACTGTATGGGTCAACTGTATTTTTTGGAATTTAAGCTTTATCGCTTGGCTTTAAAGCTTAACTTCTGATATATAGTAATAGTTAATTCAATATGAAACATTAATATTTTGACTAACTTTATACATTTCAGTTACAAAGTTGTTTCAGCTATTTTAAGAGCTAGTCGCAATTGTGTACTTACATTTGCTTGTAAGTCTACTCCGTGTAATACAAGTACAGAATACAATAATCTGAATATACATGTATCTAACTTAATATGATAATTTCAAACAGTAGACTTTGGATTTTAATTCAATAAAGCGAAGAAAAGTTTTGTAAAGGCTCTACCAACGTATAAAACTCGATGATCCTCAGCTACGAACACATTCAAAAGTTCCTGTTATGCATATACACAACTACGAGTAGGAACTGACACGGTTTACGCATTAAACACCTACCTAGAGACACACATGCACACGCCGTCACACTGTCTGTGTGCTCAAACAACTTCTCCTGAAGGTTCAATTTTATGAGTTAACAAATTTCGTAGAGGATTTATTGTTCAACTCGTTACATTTTCATATCTAGGTGAAATATACGAATATGCAAATTAAACGTATATGGAAATTCTCTTACCGTGAGAAGCGTCGTATAATTAGCGGTGTTACCATATTTGTTTAGCTTTTATTATTATACCACTTACGTAAATTGTTTTCATGTAAACTCTTGATTAATTAATGCGAATAATGTCGAAACAGTTTGGAACAGTTAGAAGTCAAAGCGTTGGATTAATTTTTGAACTAAAACTTAAACTCCGAAATTTTGTCATAAGATTGCTATAATTTTTTTTAAAGCGTTTTATCTTGAAACAAAGAGTAATTTATAAAACATTTTGGTTTTAATATACTTTGATAAACTTGACTAATGACTACTTTGCACTTTTGTTTGTATCTAGGCAGAAATAGCATTTTTAGTTTACCTATTGATTATATGTTTATCTGCTTTTAGAAGCATTGTAACTTAGTGTAGGATGCCCTCAGGTCAGGTGAAGTGACGATCTATGAATAGTTGTTAGCAGCAAAAAGAAGATGCGTCAGGTTGAGGGCTGGTCGAAATGGCGCACCTTGCGCGGAAGAGGTTTACATCCAGCAGTGGACTACGATAGTTTGATGATGATGTTTACGTGTACTTAAAACTTAAAAATGCTAGTGTGTAAAAAAATTTACATTGATCTGCGGTAATTTTCTTTTACCCCTCCCGTTAAATCGTGCATAATCCACGGTATTAAAATAACCAATGCAGCAAATAGTAATTTAAAAAAAAAGATATTACCAATAAAAAACATAATTATAAGATTCATTATTGATTCAAATCTATTTTCCTTGTATAAGTAGCAAAGCTATGTTATGAGTCGACGCAATGACGTCATAGCCGGAGCCTGCGCGTACGCTGGGGAAAGTATCGCATTCCTTAGCCCAATTGTCGACCCGCCCGTGCCTTCGATGAATAAGTATACTCGTTTCAATATGATAAACTTATTCATGGTATACATGTATTCAGTTTTATGGGGGAAAATTACTGCATAAATTAATTTTGAATCAGTTATGTGGGTTGCCTGGTAGTTAACTTCATAACATAATATATTACATAATAAATCGGTGTAACTGTGTAGGACTATTAAATGCAACAGGAACTCCAAGTAAATACGAACTTGGGTTAAAGTGACTACAATACATAGGAACTGCGCCTAGTATGTCTTTATTAGGTTAAAAAGAGATTAAGCAAGATAATGTGAAATTTAAATCAAAAGTTGTGTGAGCGTTACTGCTTTCCGGCTTTGATTAAAGGCACAAGGCACTTAGGAAAAGAAACTATTTTTTTGGATCTAAATCGCATATTTCGGGCCCTTTATAGGTCCCTTGGGCATGGGCAAGAGACCTGTAACTAGCCAAAAAAACTTTATTTTTTTATTTAGATACGAAAAAATAATTTCATTTCCTATGTGTAACAATAGCGAAAATTTAAGAGCTCCACATGGGACCTGTCAACACTTATGTCTTAGGGTGACAGGCGCAGAGGCAGCGCCCATTAGATCTTTGTGATGTAAAGCTCAGAGTGGCGCTACAACTGTCATGGATAGACGTGTCACTTATCACCAGGCGCACGACTTGTTCATCCCGTCAATTTTAAGATAGTTATGTGTATTTCTATATATTTTACTTTTATATTTTGCGCTGCAATGCAGATTTACTATTTTTCTTCCGTGTTTTAATCTGTTATATGTACCATTACAATAAAAAAAAGTTGAATAAAATGGAGTTCTTAGGTTTTCGCGATCGTCACACATAGGAAATGAAACTATTTTTCCGGATTTATTTATCAGAATTTCCTCTGATGAAAAATCCCAAACAGACATGAGATCGTAGTACTAATTAATATGTTTTAATTTATTCTTATTTTCATTATTAATTAATAATAAATTTCACTTAATAAAAATTCATATTGTTAAAATAAAATAATTTTTAAAACATAATGTAGCGTAAATTGGAATGTTTCTTTGTAAAATTTAAAATATGGTATTTAATTAATAACTTTTGTAACTATTGTGAAAAAATAGAGTGGTTTGCATTAATGTTAGGTTGATGACTGTAACACCTCAGTCAACCGTGACCATGGGACATGTAAAGGGCCCGAAACGTAGATTTGTTTCAAAAAAACAAATATACGCGATTTAAATCCGGAAAAATAGTTTCATTTCCTATTGATTAAAATGGGTGGCGTACACATTTTAAGCCCGGTGATCAAACAGTCATTTGGGATGTGTCAGTAATCAAGCTACGCGTCTATTCAGCTGTGCGTTAGTAAATCAAGCATTGGCTCTATTCGGCTCTACTTGTCATGAATTTATCCTGTCCGTTGTGTTGCATATTCATGTTGCTTTGTAAATTTTACAATAACTAAATTCTGTTGTTATTTTTCAAAAAGGAGCGAGACCCTTGAGTATGGGTCTAATAAACACTCACCGAAATACGCACCGCTCATTTGGTGTTACATTAACGTAATTGTGATTTTGGCAAAATTTAATTAAGTATCGAATACTTAAAAAAATCCTTTCGGACCGGCCAGATTCGCACCCATGACGTCTTAGCAGCTAAAAACTTTCATAGATTTCTCATAGATGGCGCTACGGCTAAAAAGCAGTTGAAAATCAAATACAACGTCCGACAACAAGTACATAGAAACATTCGGAGGTCCGCTGGTTCGTTCCGTGGCTTAGTTGGCATAGCGTCTGACACGGTTTACTAGAAGACGTCGGTGCGAATCCGGCCGAACCGAAGGAATTTTTTCCAAGTGTTCGATGTTTGTATTAATAATTATAACAGTCTAGTGGTTATAACAAACTAGTAATTTCACAAAATGTAATTGAATATAAATTCAATAAAAATTTAATTATATAGTATTTGAAGAGACATTGGCAGCAATTTTAAATTTATGTAATAAGGCAGTAATTCTCACATTACCGCTTGGCAGCAGAAACAGGTAAGGTGGCACTAATTCCTTGGACGAACTCTTTCACAAGGACCCGAATAGCTTCTTGGTCGGCCCATAAATATATAATATAAACTTGCCCGCTCACTCACGTATCGCTTATTTGGTGCTACACTGACGCAATTGTACTTCTTGTAACAGGAAATTGATTTTAATTGATTTTTTAATTTTATTACCTATGGAATATAGTTGATTATTTGTCGGCTGCTACGTAGATGAATTCTGCGTAAATAACATAAGTTACGTAGATGACATGGTGCTGTTGGCTCCGTCGGTCAGCGCGCTTAGGAAACTTGTTGCTGTCTGTGAGTCATATGCAGCGTCACACAGTCTGGTATACAATGTAAAGAAGTCAGAGGTCATGGTTTTTGCGGCAGGAAGTAAGTGTTCTACTGTTGTACCACCGATCAAATTGAATGGGGTAGCTCTTAACAGAGTGTTTAAATTTAAGTATCTAGGACATTTGATTAAGCCTGATCTCAGAGATGATGATGACATGGAGAGGGAGCGTTGAGCTTTGTCAGTAAGGGCTAATATGTTGGTTCACAAGTTTGCTCGATGCTCTGCTGCAGCTAAGACAACTCTTTTCAAGGCTTACTGTTCTACTTTTTACGCGGGTAGCCTGTGGTACCGACATACACAAAAGTCGTACATTGCTCTCCGCACCCAATACAACAATGCTTTTAGGATACTGTTGCGGGTGCCGAGTTCTGTAGTGCGTCTGCAATGTTTGCGGAAGCGCGGACATACTCCTTTTCTGCCATACTATGGAAGAAAACCGCTTCTCTTTTAAACAGACTTCGTAACAGTAGCAACGGCATCTTGAAAACGATTGCTGCGAAAGTCGAAGGATCTCTCATAAGGAACCTCATAGAATTTACGCGATCTTTGTTTAAAATAATTTACTAATATAGTTTATAAGTCTGTAACTAACTTAAATATGGATTTACGTTGTCCGATAAATAAACTATTATTATTATTATTTGACTTTGACTATATCACAATCAATATTAAACTGTTACAATTTTTTAATTAATTTATTTAATTTTTTAATCAATAAATTAAATTTTCAACTGTTTCTGCTTTGTCACTAAGACTAAAAAACGCATTCTGTTTAATTTTGATTATATTTCAATACATTAAATCATGCGCCTGGTGGTAAGCGACATGTCGATCCATGTCAGTTGCAGTGCCACTCAGAGCTTTAAATCCCAAAGATTTAATGGGCACTGATATTGAAAAGTCCCATGTGCCTGTAATGTCACCAGCACCCTTACCCTTCAAGACCGGAACGCAGTAATGCTCACATTACTGTTTGGCTGTAGAAAAAAGTAAGGTAGTAGTACTTCCCTGGAAGAACTCTTAAAAAAACTCGTAAAAACTAATTTATTTAAAAATGTTTTTGTGTTGC